TCCGCTACGCCTTCCGCTACGCCTTCCGCTACGCCTTCCGCTACGCCATCCGCTACTTCTTCTCCTACCCCTGCCGCGATCTCCGCCGCTGCCTCCTCTGCTACCTCTTCCCCCCCTGCAAGCGAGCTGGACGCACCCCCGACAGTGCCGTCCTCAACGCCGTTACAAAAGCTAAAACTACTCGGCTCATCGCCATGCTGGCTGCTCCTCGATTTCTTTCTCATATTTTCCTGTTCGATGTCACTGTCTTTGCATTGCCCCGAGCTGTTATTGCTGTTACTTCCGTTACTATACGTGGAACTAACTTTTTCGTAAATCCTTTTTTCGTTTTTCTTAGAGACACTCCTAACACTTCCGCTTTGCTTGTTTGTGGGGTTATTGAGACTGCTGCTCTTTTCACTGGGGCTCCCAGAACAATCATCACCTTTTGCACACGAATCGGTATGCGTGGCATTTCTGCTAGGATCCTCCTTCTGCTTATCATTACGGGTGGCACCATTCACCCCAGTGATGCTCGTGGAAGGCTCCTCCTCATCCTTGTGCACGTTACAACTCTCCTCCATGCTTCTAGACCCAGGTTGACAAAAGGGACCCGCTGGATCTATATCTCCTTCGCTGAAGCCCTCCCCGCTCACTACACTACCCACAATTACTCCTTCATCCCGATGGGAATCATTTCTGCGATTGGTCATATATGCATCTGCAATATTCATAAAAGCAGAGGCCTCCACTCCGTCGGCAGCCAAGTCGATTGGGTTTGCCGAGTCGTTCCCGACAGTAGGCTCACACTGGGTTGTCCTGGTAATCTTCGTCGACCCCGTAACCCCCATGTCTGTATCGGACGAGATGTCCGTGCCAAACGCTTCCTCAGCGTTCACACTATTGTTAACTTCAAACATCGTAGCTGGGTCGAACGTGTTATTTGTTACGTTGAGTCCGCTGGGTACGGATTCGTACACCCTGCTTGTGACACGTAATGCATTCGTGTTAATTCCTCCCGCATCGCTCTGGTTTGTCATTCCACCGCGTATGCTTTCACTCGAATTATTATTATTAGCGGTGTTGTTTGCCTGCTCATCACGGTTTGCGTCGTCCCTGTTGGACGAGCTCGCCTCCTCGAGACCTCCTCCTGCTCTCTCCTGACCCCATTCATGTAAATTTCGGCTACCAGAATTTCTATTGCTGATTCTGGAAAATACTTGCGGAGCAGTCACAAACCCAATTCCCCTGTTCGTGTCGTTATGTCCAAGTATAAAAGTGCTAAAAATATTTTGTATAATGCTCTGTGTCTGTGCAGATGCAAATCCTTCAACCATGTTGATGTCGTATTCTTCAGTGAAGGGAATGAACCTTATCCCCCCTGCTTCTTCAGCACCTGCGCCACCGGCCTGTTGTGTGGACGGATCACTCACTTGCCCTGAATTGACATTTCGCTGCGTAGTAGTGCCACTAGACTGTGCAGTAGTACTACTAGCCTGCGTAACCGTGCCATCGTTTCTATTTGTCGAGGAGGCTATATTACCATCAGGGGACTCCTCCTTCTCGGGTGAACCCTCATTGTTCCCCTCTGAACGACCATTACCAGGAGCAGTAGCAGTAGCAGCAGCAGAACCAACGTCATTTGTGCCAACCCCACTGTTACTCACAGAAGTACTCTCCATGTTAACGCCGTTAGAATTGTTAAACGTATTGTTACGAGAAATTTCAGAGTTTATTCTTTCTCGTAGTTCCTCCCTCTTGGAGTTATATTCCTGATCATCCGTGGGAAGTTCAAAGCGACAAGTAGGACAAGAATTCCTTTCCTTCAACCACGGAATGATACATGAACAATGGAAGACATGTCGACAACGCTCATTATCTGTTATCCTATGTACCTCATCATTTTCTTTATACTCTTCTCTGCATATAGCACATGATTCTAATTCCTCCGCTCTCTCTTTAGTTAAAACTTCCACCTTCAAATTTTTTATAATTGCTTCGGATGCAGGTGGGGGTCCATTTCTAGAAGGATCACTCTCCATGATTATTGTTAAAACTTGGTCCAGAGAAATATTTTCAAAGGAGTTGGTTAGTATATTGTCTATGAGGTCGTGGAAGTTTAATCTGATTGGTGAGTTGAGGGGGATGTTGGTGATGTCTATGGCCCTGGTGATAATCCTGGGGCTTCTGGCATTCACGCTTCCATTCACGCTTCCATTCGCGCTTCCATTTGCGCTTCCATTTATGGCGCCATTTACGCTGCCGTTCGTGTTGCCGTCACTGGCCCGACCCACGCCGCTAACACCGCTAACGCCGCTAACACCGCTAACACCGCTAACACCGCTGATACCGCTAAATCCACCCAAGCCACTTCCCCCCTCGGGGATGCCACCGTTGTACATGTAATTCCTGCCGAAGAAGACTCTACCCTGGGCATCATTTCGAGGTGCACTATCGGACATGCCCCCCTCAGGAGCGGGAACACCAAAATTGGCCGTAAAATGGATGTCCGTGTCTGTGGGCCTTAAATTCGTATTGAACATCTGCTGATACACATTTCTGAACATCATCAAATCGTTAAAAAAGTTTTCACTCGGTCCGAAGAAGCCGCTGTTGTTGCTTCGGTTGCCCTGTCTATTGTTGCCACGGTTGTCCGCATTGCCCTCCCCAGCGGAGCCTCTGCCACCAACACTATCATGCCCGTAAGGACTGTGTAAATTGCTTGCATTATCGTTGCTAGGAGTACCACCTTCTTCGTTCGCGTTCCGTCTGTCCCTATTGAAATTAATAGAATGAAAACTCAAGGGGTCATCTTCGTCAATTTTTTCCACAAAGCCCACATGATTGCAGCTTTTACATTTTATCTCCCCATCGTATATAATTTCGATATCGCTAGTTCGCTTCACATCTTCACAACTATGACAAAAGTACTCATAATCATCAACCTGATTCATAATAATATTTATGTTTTTCTTTTAATTGGTGTAACAAATGGAAGCTTTCTCACACGTTGGACAAAAAAAAAAAAAAAAAAAAAAAAAAAAAAAATATGCGACAAAAGTTTGGAGTGATGATGATCAGTAAAAACGGGATGAACCACGTGGCAGAAAAAAAAAAAAAAAAAAAAAAAAAAAAAAAAAACTTATTTAAAAATATAAACAAAGGATGCAACTTTATAAAAAGGCAGGAAAGGGATAAAGAAGGTGGGGGAAAAA